ACCCTAATATACAAGGGTTAGCTGAGTCGACCGGTTTGCCTTGTTGACTTTATTTGACTTTGACTTGACCAGAGATTGACGGTTGTCACATGATGCAACGTGGCAAAGTGATAGCCTATGCCTCAAGACAACTGAAAGAATATGAAAAGAATTATCCCACTCATGACCTCGAACTCGCTGCAGTCGTATTTGCCCTAAAGCTTTGGAGACATTATCTTTTTGGTACGAAATGCCAATTGTTTACCGACCACAAAAGTCTCAAGTATATATTCAGTCAACAAACTTTGAATATGAGACAACAACGAGCCATGGAGCTGATCAAAGGCTATGACTGTGAAATCTTGTATCATCCTGGAAAAGCCAATGTAGTTGCTGATGCTCTTACCAGAAAAGTTTATCGTAATAGTATGTGTTATACTATTACTCACACTACAGTAAAGTTCACTATTCTTGATGAACTAGAGAAATGGCAAGTAGAGGCTTTGAAGCCAGAAAATCTGATGAAAGAAGGGATGGTACATTACGCTGATGTTTTACTTGATGATCCACGGGGAATGAAGGTATTCAAGAATCGCCTATGGATTCCAAAGATTGGTGGATTAAGGCAGAAGATTTTAGATGAAGCTCATAAGTCAAAGCTGTCAATACATCCCGGTACAAGTAAAATGTACTATGATGTACGAGCTGATTATTGGTGGCCAGGATTAAAGAAGGACATTGGAAGATACGTGCAGGAATATTTGGTATGCTTACAAGTCAAAGCAGAGCACCAAAAGCCTTACGGAATTCCAGAAAGTCTTAGTGTTCCCGTGTGGAAATGGGAAGAGTTGTCCATGGATTTCATTACTAAATTGCGAAAGACTGCTAGACAGCATGATAGCATTTGGGTAATTATGGACCGGCTGACTAAAAGCGCACATTTTCTTGCCATGCGTGAAACGACTCCAATGGAGAAATACGCACAAGTATACTTAGATGAAATCGTCACGAGACATGGTGTGCCATTAAAGATCATTTCCGATCGTGATACGCGTTTCACATCTCACTTTTGGGCGAGTATGCAACGTGAATTGGGATCTCGAGTTGCTCTCAACACAGCTTATCATCCCCAAATAGATGGTCAGACGGAGAGAACAATCCAAACAGTAGAAGATATGCTTCGTGTATGTGTCTTGGAGTTCGGTGGTAACTGGGATAAGTATTTACCGCTTGTCGAATTTTCGTACAATAACAGTTACCACGCTTCAATCGGAATGCTACCATATGAAGCATTATATGGTCATAAATGTCATACTCCATTATGTTGGCGTGATGTAGGACAGAAAATCCTTAGAGGCCCTGAAATGAAAGCGGCCTAGGATCGACAAAAGTCCTATACAGAAAAGAGGAGACGACCAATAGAATTCCAGGTGGGTGATTTCGTAATGTTGAAGGTATCCCCATGGAAAGGTCTTATGCGATTTTGAAAGAAAGGAAAACTAAGTCCTAGATTTGTTGGTCCTTTCAAGATTATCCACAGAATTGGTAAACAAGCATACCGCTTGGAATTACCTGAAGATTTGGCAGGTATTCATGATGTATTTCATGTGAGTTATCTGCGCAAATGCTTAAGCATTTATGATGAAACGGTTCTGTTATCCGAGGTGAAGTTGGATAACAAGTTAAGATACGTAGAAGAACCTGAAAAGATCGTAAATGAAAGAACGACAGAATTGTGTAATAAAGAAGTAGAGTTGGTGCTTGTCAAGTGGAAACACCATCGAGGCCCAAATTATACTTGGGAAAATAAGAACGAGATAAAAGCGAAATATCCCCATTTGTTTTAATCGATGTAATTTCGGGTACGAAATCCTCAAAATGAGGAGGTATTTGTAACATACACGTTCAGTTATCGTGTATTGTAAATTATTAAAAGTAAATAATATTATGAAATTGAATGTGAAATTGAATGTTGAGTTCTAACAGATGGTTTTCACTAGAAATGAAGTAAAACTATGTTTAGAATCACTCATAAAATATTGGAAGTCTAATGACATTCCAATTAAAAGCCAAATAGTGAAATTTAGCGAAAATATAAAATTTGAAATAAGTAAAATTCTATTATTGATGGTTGTAGAGAATATCGTTAGAAACATTTAGGCGAAAACCTCGTCGAAATCCGAGTTATAACGAAGAAGTTACGACCAATCGAAGATCCGTGACAAATCCGGCAAACACTATAACGCGTAAAAAGTGAGTTATTAATAAACTACTTTTTAGCCTTAGTGATCTAAATGAAAGTCGTAGAACTCATTAAAATAATAAACTTTCATATAAAGAACTTTTAAATCTGACTTCGTATGAGGAAATTATGATTTTTCTAAGTTTCGGATTCGCAGTAGACAGCTAAAAACTCGAAGTAAAGATCGAGCCATATTTCGTCAAAACAACCTAAACGAGAATCGAAGGTCTCGTCAATAGTATTACAACGGTAAAAAGACTGACGAAAACGGGCGTCGAATGAAGAAGTTATGAATTTTTAACGGATTTTCCTGTCCCGGTCTGTTAAAAATGATAATATTAAAAATAAAGTCAAAATTAGCCGACGAAGTCTAAACGAAAGTTGTAGAATATATTTCCGCCTACACGTGCATATAAAGAACGTCAAAAACGGAGCCCGTATGCGAAAGTTATGGATTTTAGAAGGTTTGGGCTCAATTTCCGAGGAATCTCGCATGGATAAGCCTCATCTGGATAGGCCACGTCACCTGCTCTCGCAAACCGCCCCGTGTCCGACCTGATGAAGCGTCCGAAATAGTGTTCGAATCCGATACCGACGCGTGTTGCCTTCTGATTGGACCGAAGCCGCAGCCCAACCAGCGTCTGACGCGCCTTGCACCCGGTGGCGCCTTCCGAGCCTCGCTGCTGCTGTCGCGTGTCCTCTCTTCGGTCGAAGATCTGCGACGCGTGTCTTCAGCTCCTTGCTTCGGATCCGAGGCTCGCAGCTATATATAGTGGCTGCGAGACCTCCCGGGTATTTTTGGGAAAATTGCCATTTTTCACCATAAACTCAATATTTTAGCTATTTCCACTTCCCCCGAAGCCCCGGTATTATTTTTAACACCCGAAACACACCCCGAAGTGCCCGAGAAGCCCGAGAAATTTATCTTTTCGGTTTGAAGCTCTACCCTCGCAAGGCCCGGTTTTCAATAAAGCTCCCGGTTTTCAACAACGAAACTTTATTATAATAACGAAGTGCTGCACAAATTACTATTTTAACCCCCGGTTATTTCACGGTGAGTTCAATATATAGGAACAATTGTATGTTATGTGTTGTATGTGCTATGTGCTTTTCAGTGTTATTATTCTGGGTTATTTTCTCATGTTATTTTTATTCGCTATTTTGATAGCAAATGTAATACCTTTGACCATGTGATCAGTGAAAGGACTTAGATTCACATTGGTACTGATACAAGCCTCTGGCCATGTAGAACAGGTCTCCGTAAGAGAATGATTTCTATTCTATGGCATTGGCTGATGGTTAATCAGGGCGTGAAAACCTGAAATCTACCAAAATATTTATCAGAAATTGTATGTCTTCTGTGCCATTTGGGCCGAAGCGTTATTGATATTTATCAAGTATTGAAATTGTTAAGTCTCTTTGACTGTATACCTTTGAATCAAGTCACTGATTATTATGGAAAGCTTGTCACATGATTTCACATATGCCTTAGTTGTTCCTCTTTGCTTTTGCCATATTGAAGTATGTATATGGCATAACGTTATATTTTATCTATTATTGAACTCACTAAGCGTCACCGCTTACCCTCTCAATATTTTAATAAATTGCAGGCAATAAGCATCCAGTATAGCCATATACTGTCGGAAGAATTAGAATAGTTTATATTATTACTTTTGTATTTAAGTTTTAGTATGTATTAAATTTTACAATATCCTGGGTAGTTTTATAATAAACTTAAACTTAGTCGGTTTGTATCCAATGTTTTGTAATAAGACCATCTTTGTATAATAAAATATTATTTATGAATATGCATGTAGCATGTTTTGGAGTAATGAGGTGTAGAATTCATGAAAGTATAAGGAGATCTTTCAAAGTATAACGCATTAATTTCTCCCACACACATTCTGTATTCGGATTCATTTTTGTGATAATTAAATAAATCAACTTACACATTTTCTTCAAGTTCTTTACCTTCATTGTTAGAGTCACAAATAATGCTTTTAACTTTCTCATAACGTTCATAACTAAAACACCCATTATCAACCTCGCTTAATAGATCCAAAACCAATCTATCTTTCCAAGCTTTTGAAAACCCTTTACACAACCCACTCAAAACAACCAAATCAGGCCCACTAAGCTCTCTAACATCTCTTTAAAAACACCAAAAGCACCATCATAATCATCTGTTTGCAAGAATGATAAAATTAACATCTCCACAGTATCTTCAATTGGACGACAATTACTTTTCACCATGCTTTTATAAAGTTGAAAACCACGATCCGGGTTCTTTCGAGCACATTGGGCTTTAATTAGGGCAGAAAATGTTGAAGAATTTGGTACTAATTTCTGTTTATCAAGTTCTTTAACCAAATAAGCAGCTTTCTTGGTTTTTCCTTCGCTACAAAGTCCCAACAACAATGCGTTATAAGTCAAAATATTAGGTTTGACCCCAGTTCTTATCATTTCTTCAAAAATCTGATTACCCTTTTCGATTTTACTTGATTGGGAACATGCAGTGATTAATGTGTTGTAAGTTACAGTATTAGGATCCACATTTACCCTTTTCATTTCACGGAAAACTTTAAAAGCATCATGTAGTTTCCCTTCTTTACAGAATCCATGGATTATTGTGTTGTAAGTTATGGCATTTGGGCTGATTCCATTCTTCTCCATTGTAAGTTTCAACTTGATTGCGGTTGTTAAAATGCCTTGATTGATGTATGCAGTGATCAATGTATTGTAGGAGCAGACAAAAGGGTTCATTCCCATACCTTGCATTTCATCGAACACTTGGACTGCATTTCTCTAGTTTCCCTAATTGAACATATGCATTCATCACCATGTTGAGAGTGAACACATTGATTGTGATCTTGGATCTTCTCATTTGGTTGTAAAATGGTAACGCGATGTCTGCTCGATTGAAACTAAGTAGTGAACTCATATACATGTTACATGATTTAATGTTGGGAACAAATCTGTATTCCTTCATACGACAAAATGTATCTGTTGCATTCCTGAAATGCTTCATCTGTGCATACATTTTGAAAAGAGCATCGAAAACACGAGGAGTGGAATCACACATTCGATAAGAGTGAAGAACATCATCGAAGAGCTTAGAATGGAGGTTTACATCACAAGAGCAAGAACCGATAATCTTCTTTAAAATGGATTCAGCTGACACAAATTTACGATTCTTGGTGAGGATGTGGAGGATGATGGAATTTGTTTCGAGGGTGAGTAAACTAGGGTTGTGAAGCTCAATCCATTTGAAGAATTTTAGGTAAATGACGTAGTCGTTTTGAAGCTTTAACAGAATGTGTTTCACTCGTAATGAATTAGATTTGGTTAATAATTTATCTAGCTTAGCCCAATCAGAGTGAAGAAGATGACTGTGAGCTATGTTGCTGTAATCAAGATCTTGTCCTTTGGGTTCAAGGATAGTTCTATGGGGTATTGGAATAGGACTCCATTTACTTCTAAGGAGAGTAGAATTAGGGTTTTTCATGGTTGAATCAAGTAGAGTTGAAATGGGATTTTAATTTATATATTTTTAATGGAAAAACGGAGAAATAAAATATATGAAATAATAATGATTTTGAACCTGCAAAACTTAAGACGGCCTCTTTACAAGCAATGGTTGTCATCATCATGTGGGACCCATCAAGAGAGTGGACAAAGTTAGGAGGAAAGGCTGTTCTTTGTCTTTTCACCATCACCTTTTATAACCAAAAAAAAAAGTTATTTTTTTTGCATTTAGCATAATAAAGAAAAGGTTGCAGATATACCTTATCGGTTTCTCGTTGTAGTGTCAAAACTTGAAGAGATGTCTTAATCTACACATTTCAAAAAAACAACAAAAAATTTTTGGTTCCTATTAGCAAAAAAGCCAAAATACAGGGACTTTACTTGACAATTTGACATAGTAAAAGAACTCACAAGATGTCTTCCTAATTTGCGGTATGGTTGAACAACAGGAAGTCCAAGAGGAGTTGTCCATTGTACTGGATTGTTTTTCACTGCTATAACCTGTCAAAATTTATAAAATCAATAAACGTATTAATCTTATCTTATAAAAATATAAAATTTATACCTTTGCACAATCACCAAGCCGATTCATAATACTTCTTGCAGATTCAAACATTGCTAAAAGAAAAAACATCATTAATGGCTTGAGTTTCCTCCACCATTAAGCCACATATGAAACCTTAAAGGACTGTTTTGAAGACCTTTTCGAGGGTTCAAAACATGGTCTTTTTATAGAAAAACATCACACAAGAATCTATGAGAATTGGAGCAAAAGAAATCATGAACGAAGATACCAAAGAGAAAATAGAAAGATAATTATTCTACAATTCTAACCAATCCTTACTCACCAATTACCACATATATGAGAGTGTTCTTAACTATATTTTGACAGCCATCACCCATTAAAAACACACAAAACGTGGTTGGGGATTAATCACATAACATATCAAGGATTGGAAGTAAGAAGAATGAGATTGCTTGAATCCAATCACTAGCAATTGAAACATGAAATCAAAAGACGAGTTAAAGCAAGGAACTACCGGATTGTATGAGTCGATTTCCCAGCCTCAACACATCTTCAAGAATCAACACTTGCAGACCCTTCTTTCCCCCCTCTCTTCTCAGTTCGAGGTTCTAAAAGGCGTGAGGCGTGGCGTGGCGGCAAGGCCAAGCCTCAAGCTTAACGAGCCATGGCGAGCCATGACGTTGTTCAAAGCGTGATGTAAGGCGGCGATTTTGTATTAATTTATAATTATATTACCGCTTAAATATATATTTATATTAGATATAACTAGTTTTTAGAAGTGTTATATCAACAACAAATAACAAAAAATTAACAAAAAACACAATACTTGTATGTCCGATTAGAAAATGTATAAAAAAGGAAAAAAAAAACATGTCTCAAACGAAAAAACACGCGCCATAACACGCCATAACGCGCCATGGCGCGCCATATCACTCCTTGTCACACGCCACGCCTAACAACAACGTTATGGGGCTTTTCGTAACGGCGACACCGGGCCTCACGCCATGGCGTGCCTTGGCGCGCGCCATGGCGCGCCTTTTAGAACACTGGTTCTTCCCTTCTCCACCCTACCTCGCCTTTTTTTTCCTATGCTGCTGTCGAGCGATGCGAAGGATCGTTTTTGAGATTACTCCATTAATCCGTGCGTAAAGGCTAGAACAGTTGCAAAAAAACTTTTGGAGGTATCTTCACAAATTAAGTTTCTTGTAATGCCAATTTGGTCCTAGGCTTTGAACTTTTTCTTGTTGGGGGGTTATGGACGAGTTTTTAAGGATTAGTCCCTAGACATTGAACTTTATCGTATCTTTCCTAACCTTAGATACCTTCACAAATTAAGTTTCTTTTAATGTCAATTTAGCCCCCTTCATTACTTCACAAATTATATACTATTGTTTTATATTTAGGGGTGCTCAATTTGACAATAAAAATAATGTTGACAGAAAACCTATTATAGTCTTCTGACCCATGATAAGAGAATAAAAAATGACTCGTATTTTGAAATTATAAAAAATAGGAAAGTATAAACAATTAAAAATAATCTACTTATTTTTAAAAAAAATATTTTTTGTGGTTTATGCTTTTGAATTTATTTTCTAAGTTAATAAAAATGATAGTCAGTTTTTCAAAAATCATATAAATTAATAGTAGTCATTATTGTGAATATCAATTTTTATATGTACATTATATTTATACTTCAATTTCAATTTATATAACGCTTTAAGTTTTTTTTATTCTTAGACATTAGTCACTTAGATAAAAACGCTGATAACTAATAGTTATTATTGTGCATTTGTATTAAGTTGTATGTTGAAATCAGTTGAATGAAAAGTCGATAACATATTACAAAAGAAAAAATTACCACTAACCAGCTAAAAAGATATATAAATGATAGATAAAGAGTGATTTGTATATAACTATTTATGTATTAAATATTGGTATTTACGTTTTAAATATTTGTATTGCACAACTTAATAAAACATATATAGTTTGTCTATAAGGAAAAGTTACCGTGTAAGGATCTCTACCCATCGATAGATATAATTTATTTTTATAAAGCTTAAATTGACTATTTTAATAAAATTAACAAAGGTGTTCCACAAAATATTTAACTTATTATTTTTTTTTTCTTTGACAAAAAAATAATTAAAAATGAAAAGTAATTAAGATGCTATATCTTTTATCTATTAATAAATTCTAATCTTATTATTTATTTATCACAATCAATCCAAACATCAACAAAGATCTCATTGTTGTTTCCAAAAAAAGATTAAAGATAAATGGAAGTCCATCTACCCAAACAAAATAAAATACGTAATTTTATATAGTCAGAAACATTGAACAAATTAAATTACATTCAATTATTCAATTTCCTATGAACCAAATGCATGAAAGATTACAAAATTGAAGTTACTAATTCTTTAACTATCAATATCCTCAACAGCTAAGAGCTCAAGTCTCAAATAATCAACTAATATAATTTTTAAACCTCCTCACAATAACACATATAAATAAAAGAATACATATGTGTTCAAAATGGGGTGTGATCTAAATAAAACAACACATATACTTTATACATTAAAATTATACAAGTAATAACTACCAATTTCGATAAAACTAATAATTTATTGTGAAATAAAACTAAAATTTACAAAATATTATTATCTTTAATATATAGAGTACAAATCTATCAAGACCAAGAAAACTACAACCATGATTGCACAACCTTCACGACCCATTCCTCTGTCGTATCTTAAACAGACGTAACCATAAATAGCATTGTACTTTGTATATATAGTAGAATATAAACATAAACTTTTTAAAATAAAATAATAAAAAAGTCAATTGCTATTTACACAATCTTTATTTCAGCTACTTCTAAACTATTTATAGAGTTAAGCTTAGCAAGCTATATAGATTGAAGTGATTACTTTAAGGATCATGGCCACATAGTAGTTTAGATACAAAGTTGATGTGTACATTAAGAAGTGAAACTTATTCCTCTTAAAAATACAAGAAAGAAGCAATATGCTTTATATAATTGTATAGATGTATAGATATAGATATAGATGTATAGAAGTATAGATATAGATAGCACAAATATCAAAGTTTAATTCGATATACATCAAAAACTTTTAAAACTTTATTGAATATACATTACGAAGTATAACGCATTATTTGCTCCCACACACATTCTGTATTCGGATTCATTTTTGTCATGATTAAATAAATCAACCTACACATTTTCTTCAAGTTCTTTACCTTCATTATTAGAGTTACAAATAATGCTTTTAACTTTCTCATAACGTTCATAACTAAAACACACATTATCAACCTCGCTTAATAGATCCATAACCAATCTATCTTTCCAAGCTTTTGAAAACCCTTTACACAACCCACTCAAAACAACCAAATCAGGTCCAATAGGCCTCTCTAACATCTCTTTAAAAACACCAAAAGCACCATCATAATCATCCGTTTGCAAGAATGATAAAATCAACATCTTCACAGTATCTTCGTTTGGACGACAATTACTTTTCACCATGCTTTTATAAAGTTGAAAACCACGATCTGGGTTCTTTCGAGCACATTGGGCTTTAATTAGGGCAGAAAATGTTGAAGAATTTGGTACTAATTTCTTTTTATCAAGTTCTTTAACCAAATAAGCAGCTTTCTTGGTTTTTCCTTCGTTACAAAGTCCCAGCAACAATGCGTTATAAGTCAAAATATCAGGTTTGACCCCGGTTCTTATCATTTCTTCAAAAATCTGATTACCCTTTTCGATTTTACCTGATTGGGAACATGCGGTGATTAATGTGTTGTAAGTTATAGTATTAGGATCCACATTTACCCTTTTCATTTCAAGGAAAACTTTAAAAGCATCATGTAGTTTCCCTTCTTTATAGAATCCATGGATTATTGTGTTGTAAGTTATGGCATTTGGGCTTATTCCATTCTTCTCCATTGTACGTTTCAACTTAATTGCGGTTGTTAAAAGGCCTTGGTTGATGTATGCAGTGATCAATGTATTGTAGGAGGAGACAAAAGGGTTCATTCCCATACCTTGCATTTCATCGAACACTTGGACTGCATTCTCTAGTTTCCCTAATTGAACATAAGCATTCATCACCAAGTTGAGAGTGAACACATTGATTGTGATCTTGGATCTTCTCATTTGGTTGTAAAATGGTAACGCGATGTCTGCTCGATTGAAACTAAGCAGTGAACTCATATACATGTTACATGATTCAATGGTAGGAAGAAATCCGTATTCCTTCATACGACAAAATGTATCTGTTGCATTCCTGAACTGCTTCATCTGTGCATACATTTTGAAAAGGGCATCGAAAACACGAGGAGTGGAATCACACATTTGATAAGAGTGAAGAACAGCATCGAAGAGCTTAGAATGGAGGTTTACATCACAAGAACAAGAACCGATGATCCTCTTTAAAATGGATTCAGCTGACACAAATTTACGATTCTTGGTGAGGATGTGGAGGATGATGGAATTTGTTTCGAGGGTGAGTAAACTAGGGTTGTGAAGCTCAATCCATTTGAAGAATTTTAGGGAAATGACGTAGTCGTTTTGAAGCTTTAACAGAATGTGTTTCACTCGTAATGAATTAGATTTGGTTAATAATTTATCTAGCTTAGCCCAATCAGAGTGAAGAAGATGACTGTGAGCTATGTTGATGTAATCAAGATCTTGACCTTTGGGTTCAAGGATAGTTCTATGGGGTATTGGAATAGGACTCCATTTACTTCTAAGGAGAGTAGAATTAGGGTTTTTCATGGCTGAATCAAGCAGAGTTGAAATAGGATTTTAATTTATATATTTTTAATGGAAAAAAAAAACAGAGAAATAAAATTATATGAAATAATAATGATTTGAACCTGCAAAACTTAAGCCAGCCTCTTTACAAGCAACGGTTGTCATCATCATGTGGGACCCATCAAGAGAGTGGACAAAGTTAGGAGGAAAGGCTGTTCTTTGTCTTTTCACCATCACCTTTTATAACAAAAAAAAAAGTTATTTTTCTTGCATTTAGCATAATAAAGAAAAGGTTGTAGATATTAACCTTATCGGTTTCTCGTTGTAGTGTCAAAACTTGAAGAGATGTCTTAATCTACACATTTCAAAAAAACAACAAAAAGGCTTTGGTTCATATTAGCAAAAAAGTCAAAATATAGGGACTTTACTTGACAATTTGACATACTAAAAGAACTCACAAGATGTCTTCCTAATTTGTGGTATGGTTGAACAACAGGAAGTCCAAGAGAAGTTGTCCATTGTACTGGATTGTTTTTCACTACTATAACCTGTCAAAATTTATAAAATCAATAAACGTATTAATCTTATCTTATAAAAATATAAAACTTATACCTTTGCACAATCACCAAGCCAATTCATAATACTTCTTGCAGATTCAAACATTTCCCCTAAAGCAGTTAAAGTTGTCTACAAAAAAAAATTCAGAATTTGCATCAAATATTTACTCATAAATCATAATAGCATAACAAGATTATTTATTATTTGGGAATATTCTCTAAAGAAAAAAATTCAGAATTTGCATCAAATTAGAACAATATTTCATATCAGAAAACAATATATACATAAACAAGATACGAATATATATGCAAAAAAAACTTACACTTTTCTCAAGTCCTTTTCGAACAAGAGGATCACATTCAATAACTCCATATCTTCTGCTTCCTCTCCTATATATATAAGATTAACAATCAGCAATGCATCATCGTTACATAAAAAAGGTCAAATAGTAAAAAGTAAAAAAATCATAAATGAGGCCATACGTACAGAGTTTCCACAGTTTTAAGAGTGTGTACAAATGCAGGCCTAATATCAGGAGGACAATCTTCACATTGGTCAACAGGAGGTTGTATATAAGCAATCTCCATTAACAACTGGATTAAACGAGAACCAACCTGAAAAAAGCAACATCCACTATTGAAGATTATCATAATTACCATTTTGCCATCAGGGTTCATATACAAACCTTAACTTGAGCATCCTGACCCCATGGCTTCAACTGATCTTGTTGTTTCACTATGTGTCTTACTTGCTGTAACTTTTTCTTTTTAACTAAATTGGTTACTTTCTTCCTCAGTTTCTGTAATTGTTGCTCGTTATTCACAGCTTCTGAATCATCATCAGGGCTCTCATTTAATGAAGCCTTTCGTTTGGATTTCTCCATGAATCTGTGTATTCTCGCCTGATTTTCATATCAGAAAGAAGGAACACTTGAATCCTTGGATGTTGCAAAAAGGGAAGAAAAAAAAAATCAAAGTTTTGCTGCAACTAACCTCATGTTCAACAGCTTCACCGATATGCAGAGCTGCCTGGACCACCCTAGCGCCACCCTGACCTCCGCCAGTCATCAACAGACCCATTAACTTGTGCATTGTAATTATCGTCATCATATCAGCAGGTAACTGGTCGAATTGTGGAGCATAAGCTCCTCGATTCCTACCTTCCCTGCATAAATCCTGTTCTGAAGCAATGGCGTTCTTCAATGGCTCAAACCAACCAAGAAACAAGGATTTCACATAAGGCAGATTGGGAACGAGTTTCTGTTCACACATGTCGACTAAAAGTTCCTGATACTCTTTTGCTGCGTTCTCCCATGCTTCTGTCTCTATCTTTATCTGTCGTCTCCTGAGTGCAATGTACTTCCCTTGCCCAATTCCGTTGACTAACCTCGGCTGCTTTTTGTGATCGGAGCTATTAGATTTCATTTCCACCGCTTTGATTTCTTTATTCAAATGGTGTACCATTTCACGAATTTCATCGCTGTCTTCTTCTTCTGTCGAAACAATCTCCTCAGCTGCGGCGGAACTGGCATAACCCTTATAAGACCGATGTAATAAACTGAAAGAAACCCCTAAATTTGTGAAACCGGAATCACCCAAGACGTTGATTCGCCGGAAACCCCGTTCTCCATACGAAGGATTTCGATAAGGGTGAAGCTCTAGCTGTCTAGGTTTTTCGAACAGGTGGGTATCTCTAAAATTAGATTTATCGGCGAATGATTTCAGCTTCTTGACAGAAGCTCGGTTACATACGCTTCTCCACATGCTAGAGTGGAGTGATTTATTTGCAGAAAAATTAATGGGTTTCTAACTATGTACACGGTTGATACAATTTGCAGAGAGATAGATCGAACTAATGATCTGAAAGAAGTCTCTGGTTGTTTGGTAAGATGGATGCGAAGGTGTGAATCTAGGAGTGGCGATGAAAGAATCTGACAACATTTGAGGATTTGTGAAGGAGGCAAAGTGACGAAGAGTGGCCGCCTTAAACCCTCGCTAAACCTATTCTCGTTTTTGCCTGCTTTACGAAAGATATTTTATACCTTTTCTTTATTTTTATTTTTTTTTCTTCCTTTCTATGTAGCAAATAAAGAAGGAAAATGATCCATTAAGTGGGTGTTTGGGATAGATTTTAAAAAAATTTATTAGCTTTTTAGCTTTTCAAAAAGCTAATAAGCTAAAAAAGTGTTTGTGTATTTCAAAAGTATTTTTTTAAACAGTTTTTTGGATAGGAAAAAGTAAAGCTTTCAAAAAGCTGAAAAATTCTAGTTTTTTAGCTTTTTAACCATTTTACTCCTGAAAAAGCTGTTTTTCGCATCCAAACACATTTTAAAACCAGCTTTTCCTAAAAGCTATAAGCTAATAAGAACTTTTCTTAAAAATCACTTTTGACATAAAAAAAACTAACCCAAACATACCCTAAATCCATACTTGATCTTCCTTGTATGTAGCAAATAAAGAAAGTAAAATGACACATTAGAACGATGCATGAGATCAGGACTCTCACCCGAGACATGATGTTTTCGCTACTCCGGACATTGTGTAATACAAGAATTTTGCGTTGTTGTTGTTAAGGATCGGTACAAAGGGTGTCAATTTCATTAAGCTACACTTCCCAACTCCTACGTAAGGTTCAATGGCGGATCCACTATAGATCCCGGGGTATCCCGAGATACCCCTCAAAACAAATTTAGTAGTGTTAATTTTTTTGGAAAAATTTGTTTTATGCTGCGGTTTTATATCGGAAAAAAATTAGACTATCCTACAAAATTCAAGTTATTTCTAAATGGTCCAAAATACAAACGAGCTCAAATGGTCCAAAAATTTTAAGCCCACACCAACTAGTTGATTGAAACAAAGAGGTATTAAGTCCAATTAATTTAATGAGAAAAAAAACGGATGTAAACTCGTAATCCTTCTGTGATCGTCTACTTCTCAATTGTCAATTCGTCTTCTGTTTTATCGACTCATCGTCTCATCCTATCGTCGACTTCATCGCAGCCCTTAATCGTCTTCTCAATTGTCGTCGTCTGCCGGAGGGAGAATTTCGGCGACCTCCTCCTCGGCTCATCCATCACAATGAAACAAGTTAGTATAAAAAATATTCAATCCTATTATGTATTTAGGTTAATTCAAATTCCGATTTTTTGTCATTATGTTTGAAAATTTAGAAATTACTAATTAACTTTGTTAAATTAGGGACTTAGGGTTAATACTTAATGATTATTTGTTGTTGAAACTTGAAATCAAGTTATAGTTGATATATTTTAATTGTAGGTTGCTATTTGTTGAAACTTGGAATCAAGTTTATAGTTGATATATCTTGATAAATGATAATTTAATTGTAGGTTGTTATTTGTTGACTGTTGTTGAAACTTGAAATCAAGTTTATAGTTCATATATTTTGATTGTAGGTTGTTATTAAAAGTTTTTTTTTTCAAAAAACAGTTAGATGTTGGAGACAACAATCGTGAAGAAACTTCCAAAAAAAATAAGGTTAATGAAAGTAACTAAGTTCCACAAACTAATAAACATATACCAAAACCACAAGAAACACAACCTAATGAACCTACTCAAAAACCAAAATGAAATAACGAAGATGTGAACTTTAAAATGTAACTTTGTTATGGAAGTTGAACTTTATATCTAATAAAATTGCGGTTTTTTTTTCTTATTGTATATTTCACAAAAAAATAAAAAAATAAAAAAAAATACCCCTTTACTTTGACCCTAGTTCCACCACTGGTAAGGTTTGCGTAGCTTTCCTCGTAGAGCCAACATCACTCCAGTTCACCTATCTTTAGGTGAACCATGTGTCGAATTGGTCATCTAGAATAACGATTTAACTGACTTTCCTCGTTGAGCCAACATTAAATGACTTTCCTCATAGAGTCAGTCCTAACCGACTATCCTCGTTGAGCCAACACTACTTGGTTATCCTCATAAAGCCAACACCTATTGGCTTTCCTCGCAGAGCCATCCCTAGTTGGCTTTCCTCGTGGAGTGTAACATCCCAAAATTTAAGATCAAAAAATTTGTTTTTAATTGAGTAATTATGAAAACATCAATAGTGTCATCTCATGTAATAAACAAATCAGTTTGTAAAACATCCAATCATATCATAAAAGATAATATCAGAGTACAACTCCCAAATATCTCATAATACGGAAAGCCATAGTGTGATGCGTTGTTATCATGCCAGCTCCTTTCCTTTTGAAGAAGTATCTGAAACCAAAACTTAAAACCGTAAGCATGAAGCTTGGTGAGTTCCCCCATCATACCACATAATATCATATTGTCAGGCATATATGGGTGTCCAACCTACCCCTTCGGTCTGATCCGACCAGAAACTGCCTAGCATATCTGGGTGCTCGACCTACCCCTTCGGTCTCTTTTAACCGGTAATTATCGAGTATATCTGGGTGCTCGACCTACATCTTCGGTATCTTTCAACCGGTAACTGCCGAGCATATCTGGGTGCTCGACCTACCCCTTCAGTTTCTTTCAACTGGTTACGACGTATATTTCACCCCTACCACTACCACATAACCACATAACATAATCATATTGTCAGGCATATTTGGGTGCCCGACCTACCCCTTTGGTCTTATCAACCGGATACGGGGTCTATTTCACGTAACGTTCGGGTTTCGGGGCTAAGCATTAATAGATGATGTAATAGTCCAGGTCAACTATTGTAACTCTTTTTTAAGTAATAAAGATGAATTATTTGAGTATTATGTGAATTATGTGCATTTATGTGTTTATTACTTATTTATAAATGTATAATAAATAAAGGATAAAAATAAGCATCAAAATTAAAGTGTGAGATAAACCCGATATCTTTACATAAATTTGTAGTGGTCAAAACAAGGATTTCGGGGATATAAAGAACACCGAAATCCGAGTTATAACGAAGAAGTTATGACCCGTCGAAGTTTCGCGACGGAACCGGCACGACATCGGGAAGCGTAAATAGTGAATTTACGATAGAGCGACTTTTAGCCTTATTAATCTAAATGAAATTCATAGAATATGTTAAAACGAGAGCGTCCATAAAAAGAACACCCAAATCTGACTTCGTATGAGGAAGTTATGAATTTTCTAAGATTTGACATAGCAGTGCACGACCTGAAACTCGAATTTTAGTTTGAGCAGTTTTTGGCTTACACGACCTAAATGAGAGTTGAAGATCTCATTAATAGGAACTCAACGGTAAAAAGACAGAAGAAAAAGGAGTCTGTATGAGGGAGTTACGAATTTTTCGCGGTCATTTAACAGTCTAATCTCCTCCTACTGTTAAATTTAAGATCGGTCGAGAATTAGCCGACGGAGTCTAAATGAAAGTTCTATATCTTGTTTTTACCTATGTGTGGGTATAAAGAACGTCGAAAACGAAGCTCGTGTGGGAAAGTTACGGTGTTTAGAAGTCGGAAGGATGCTGCTGCAAAAGGGGTGATGTGGCACAATGTAGGTCACACACGTATGGCCACCAGAAAGTTGACAAGTGGCACTGACTCGTGGAGTAGGTCCTCTGACTCGATGAGTCGAGCTGCCAGCCTCACTATAAATAGAGGTGTCGGGTTCCCTCATTCTCCACACCATTCAAACCCTTCTCTCGCTCTCTCTACTTTCTCTCTCTAAGCACCAACCCCCCCCCCCTCCCTCCAAAGTCTAGGTAAACCCCCTAGCACTCGAAGGAAGACCCGAGAAAAGATCCCTTCGGCTCAGAAACTCTGCTCCGACGGAGCCCGGTCTTCGAAAAAACTCGTTGTAAGTGAGCTATGCCTACCCTATCTTTAGTATAACTTATGTTTTAATATAGTAATGTTATTAGGACCTTATAATGAGTATTTAGGCTATTATTATGAGTTATATAAGTGTCGTTATAATGTCTTTTTAACCACTCGCGGGTATGGGGAATCTGGTTTGGAGGGCCGCTTGGGTTGCTGGATTCAGAAGTGCTTTATGCCAAAATGATCCTGCCCTCCGGTGTTTCATGTCCAGCCCCTGTCTGTACATAGTGGGTGAAGAGTATTGGTTCATGCTTATATAATAGTAATAATAGCTAGACTATTAATTAGTCTCGGTAAATATTAGACTAAACTCTAGTGGTAATGATACTAGGTTTTGTCCAAGGAAAATTGTTTTGAGAGTAACGAAGTGCTGTCCGAGTACACAGTCACCACCTTACCAGGTGAGTGCATAGTTACTTTCATCTTACACATAGATATGAAGTATTTTATATGAATTACGTGATATGTGTACATATTATCTGAATACTTGCTGTCTATGCTGGATGAACGTTTTTATACATGTTTTAAATGACTTAAACTGTATATGTATTTTATATCTACAAAAATATTGGGGTAAAACATGGGTAGATGTAATATACGATGTGTGATAAAATGATGAGAAGCCTCGATGTTGTTGTTGATGCTTCTGTTATCTAGCGGAGTATGGATGACGACCACGGACTCTTCTAGACAGTCAAGTGGAACGCTAGCAGGCTCGCAACCTGTAGGTGTTTGTGAACGATGTGTTCACCGGTGTACTCCATCCCCTACATGGTTGTCTTTAGGACATTTATTGTTGAGGAACCCCCTTGGCTGTAGTGTCCATCCCAATATTGATCCTTAGTCTAGGTCCCTTATGATAGGTGTTTTAGGGACGTAATGTGAGGATAACGGGAACGGGTAATCGGGTTATTGTTGGTCGATGAAATTAATAAACTTATTTATTGTGGGTTGAAAACCCTATGTGCTCAGCAGGCTCCCAAGCCTGACCCACTCAGTTTCTTGTATTACAGGTAGTGGCGCATGAGCATAAATTTTGGATGAGAGTTAAGGGATTATAGGCCTGTAAATACGAAATAATGTATTAAGGCTTATATTGTACTGTTTATGCTTTTGATCTGTATCGAACATGACATCCCGAGGTTTTTAATGAAATACATTTTTTTGGAAATGTTTTTGATAAATCTTTATCATATTTTGTTTTTGGGAAAAAATTTCGCAACACTTTTATTTAAAATGTTAC